GGCCCATAGCTCATAGACAGTGAGATTGTCTTGTAACCTGATGGTGCGGGTTCGTGCAAGCGCAAGGTCTGGGTGACCATCGCAGTATTCTAAGTGCACGTGCGACCGGTAGTGGTTGAGCAGCAGCGAAGCATTGGTAATGCACACCGTCGCACTGCTGATGACTTTTAGCAGCAAAAATTACCAGGTGTACTGTGAGACAAATGAGAATTTGGTTACCAAGGATATAGGAACACTAAAGAGCGGTCAAGGAACATTATCCCGCCTCAATGGTGTCGGCACATGAGAGTACCAAAGGACACAACATGGATAAGAATTAAAAAAGCTATCCTGACACAGGGAGAGAAAAAACCTAATGGTGCTGAACGGTTCACTTGCTCTTCCTGCAGCAAATACGCGACGCCGAACACGCTCATTGCTCACGCAATGCTCCCAACAGACATGAGCTAAGCTGCAAAGGCAGAGATGATCGAATGTGAGGAGCTTCTTTATGTCTGTCGACCTGATGGGCTAGGTTTCACAACTGTACAGGACGGTTGAACGGACGGCTGCGTTATAAACTCTGCCCTTCAGGGCGAGAGTAATGTCGGGTCTGAACCACAGTTAGCGGAGATTGGTAAAAGCACCTCTAGCTTTTGCTATGCGGTTCGTAACCTCATCTTCGATCCCACGGCCTCTAATATAACTTCTCAGGTACTTGAATTCCTGAACGACTTCTAGTTGATCATCACAAAACGTTAGTGCAGGGGTGTGTACTCGCAAATTTTGGAGAAGTACTTTGCATTTCGATGGAGCAAAGCAAAGCCTAAAACGATAGACAGCCAGTGCTAATCGGTCCAGTGCTGCCTGACATGTTTGGAATCTGTCGCAGATTAGGGAAATATCGTCCGCTTACTCCAAGTCAAGAAGTCTCTCACCAGGAAGTAGTTCCACACCTTCTAGGTTGTGTCCAGCGAACGCTGTTTCCATGACTTCATCCATAGCGAAGTTGAAGAGGAAAGGTGACAGAGGGCAACCTGGTCTCACACCGCTGGTGATACTGAACGATGGCGACAGTCTGTCATAAACCCTAACTTTTCCCGAACTATGTGCGTGCAGCGCTTTGATAATGTTTACGTATTTATCAGGCACACCTTTCCTCAGCAGGTGGTACCAAAGGGCACAACGATCGTCTGAGTCGAAAGCAGCTTTATGTCAAGAAACACGACAACGATGGTTAGCAAATAAACATGGTGGTGCTCTAACAATTGACATTTCACGATCAATCGATTCCAGCTATGCAGTAGTAATCTTGTTTCTTGACATACACCAATCGTTCGATCGAGTGCCGCAGAAGCGACGGCTACAAAAGTCGGAGAAGCTTGGGATCCCTGACCCATTACTGGGTTGGCTATCGCCATACCTGAATGATCGTCATCAGATGGTCAGTTTAGGTGATTATCGCTCTTCCGCACGCTCAATCAGGGGTGCATGCGCGGTCCCTTACTTGTTTTGCTCTACATCAATGACATCACTACATCTGTAAAACATGGTACATCATTTTTATCTGCTGACTATATGATCTTCGACGTGACGAGCTTCACGGGACATTCCTGCTCGTTCAAGATGATTTACATTCCTTTGAGTTAAGCTGCTACACATGGGTGATGAACCTGTTGGCTAAGAAATCACGCATTATGTCTTACGGTTGCTGCATCCCCGAAAGATGTATCACCCTAAACAATGTACGTGTTCCTTCACAGTTGTCCACGTGAGATCTTGGAATTAGGTACTTGTCTACCATCAATTTCTTCGAACGGACCCAAAACCAAGTATCACGTGTCAGACTATGTTCAAGATATCAAACTAAGTACACAACCCGTGCTGGAATTGAGTTTTTCAAGCTAATAACGCTCCATCCTTGAATACTGCAGCATAATATACGGAAATATGATAACGTGTGACACAGTTACTGTGCATCACCTGCAGAGATTATTTACTAAACATCTGACTGGTATACACTGCTATGAGTTATCGAGAACGTTGCAATGAACTTCATCTCGAACGACTTTGGATTCGACGATTGAAGCACAACTTGTTGTTGCTTTTCAACATGTTACACAAAAAGACCTATTCCAATCTGCATACACGCAATTTGCAACGTTGCTCACCCCAGGCGTTTCGCAACAAAGAGTTTACAGTGAACGTACCGAGGGCCAGAACGAACGTCCGCTTTAATTTCTTACTGGTCAGATACAGCTATCTGTGGAATAAACTACCAATAACACTCATGTCATGTAATAATGTGGCAACCTTTAGTACCAAACTCGCCAATTACCTTGATCTAACTACCCTAAGCTCTATATTCACATGGGAAAATTCTCTCGATGAGCTATTCCAAGTGGGGCCCAAAAACATTTAAACACCAATGTTTTCATAACTAGGCTTTGGCCTCAACCATTCGGCAGCATGGTTATACATGAAACGTATATCCCAATACTCCATCTATGCGTGTCACCCATTACAGAGCATGGATTCTGTACAAATTGATCTGCGCCGCTATAGACACAGTTTTTCTCATCAAGAGAAATATACGTGTTATTATTATTATTATTATTATTGTTATTATTATTATGCGGTCGAGAAAGAGACGAGCACCTTCGCACAACTGTAGCAATCGTCCACCGTTATCAGTATGGGAGCCTACACCATATTGGCTGCCCAGATGAACCTTATCTGAGGATAATTTTCCGACTTGGGTGTTTGCATCGCCAGCCAACACCACAGTATACGTGCTTCTTCTGTAACGAAGAAGATCGTGAAGTTGCTGATAGAAATCATCTTTCACCGAATCAATGCTACAGTTTGTAGGGGCGTAGGCCGCAATGACAAACAGGCACCGTTTGTTCCCGCGCGATTTCGTAGCATGGAACGAACCAGCTCATCTAACGGCGCACATCCCACTGTTGACTAGGATCCAATCTATCAGAGCAGCTTCAGTCCGGGGATACAAGACAATGCCGACGTCAGCTTGACTGGCATTTGAAACTACATCGTCGCCAGACAGGCGCAATGAAAATGTGCTGCCAGTGTCGCATGTGGGGGTCGCAGAGTAAGCACGGAGCTCGAATATTGCAGGCGGGTTTTGGAGGAATAGAAAATATCGATCGAGAGGGTCTCTAGTTTGCGGGCAAGTGTTGCCTGTTGGCCAATCTGTAGCAAAGTGGGCACGTTGAGGCATGCCAGTCTTAGCGAGACTCGATGGCTCCAAAGGGAAACGAATGAACCGACGTTATCCACCTTGTTGAACATTGACTTGTCGACTGGATTGGAGTGATGTCCTGCGACTGTGAGTTTAAACTAGAAGAAAAGTGGATGTTTGTGAGTAGTGTCAAGTTCGAAGAAAGTAGAAGCCATGATTAAAATTCACGCACAATAATATGCCTCGACGGGGAGTCGAACCCCGGTCCACGAATTTCCGGTCCGTTGCTCTACCGCCTGAGCTACCGAGGGCTGACGATTAGGTGCGCAAATTTTAACACATGTTTTCTGCTTGGTGCGCGACGTGTTGCCAATAAGCTCACAGTACCTGTCCTGATGTTGCAGATTGGCTCACTCACCCGTCACTTCCCAATAGACCGAAGTTCCTGTCCTTCAGACGTCCAATGGGCGATGGTAGATTAATGGTGGATGTTCGAACTTGACACTACTCACAAACATCCACCATTAATCTACCATCGCCCATTGGACGTCTGAAGGACAGGAACTTCGGTCTATTGGGAAGTGACGGGTGAGTGAGCCAATCTGCAACATCAGGACAGGTACTGTGAGCTTATTGGCAACACGTCGCGCACCAAGCAGAAGACATGTGTTAAAATTTGCGCACCTAATAGAAGAAAAGTGACTATTTAAGCAAGGTGGGGGAGGGCCAAGAATTGGGGGGATTGAAAATAAGGGGATAAAAGGAAATTTGGAGTGGGACGATAAGGATGAAAAGTGTAAGAAGGGGGATAAGAAGACTGGAGGACCTGAACAGTAGCATCCAAACCCCTATCCACCGTGCCCGGCGCAGCAGTTGGGGCGCTGTTGATTATCCTCTGCGACGTTCAGAGCATCAAGAAATTGTTGGGAGAAAGGTTCATTGTATTGCGTGGGCAGAATACTGTCAGGCTGCCCAGGCCTAAACTGGCGAACCTTTAGGTTCTCAACCATATTCTTTGGTTCAAATATCTTGCAGCAAAGCAGTGGGGTTTTTGCACCGGACTACATAGAGCCCGTTTTATCGAGTAAGGAGCCACCCCCACTCCAACCCCTAACTTTGAGGGCCAGGAGACTGAGTTTGTCAGGCCTCTAACCATTGACCAATGTGGTGTGAGTGTCTTTGAAGGTGCGAAAAGTATCACCCGGCATTCTCAGTTTGTCACTGAGGCACACAAACCGTCGCACCCCATTAATATCCAATTTCTACCCAGACTATTAATATAGCAGTCTGTGTGATCTCTGAGTACAAACCGATTCCCCTCTCTCAATCCAACGTGCGAGGATCACATCCTCGTCGCAACATTATTTCCTCAGCTTCTCAAAATTACCCAGATGCATATGTGAACAAAGCAAAAGGAATAACGGAGTAGTAGCTGATGGCATCCACCTCTTTGTATTTACCTACCACATGCTGCTTCTACCACTCATGCACTGACGATGTCACCTCAATCAAATTGCCTAACTCGGCTGGAACAATGACAACTTCCGATTATTTTATATACTTTCGTACGATATGGGCAGCTTATATAGGCTAGCTTCTATATTCTGCGGATGATCTCCGGGGTTATCAAGTACATGGCTTTGGCAAGGGACCTGGGTAAGTTGGCAAACACAACGGCATCACCGGTTTCTGAACTCTCGATGTTGGTCCTTTACAAATGCAGGTATGACTATACTTGTGACAGTTATTTGATTCCTATCATGATATAGCTTTATACTCATGTTTTATCTGACCGTCAGCTTCCGGTATTCTGTTCCAGAGCAGAAGATATACTCCTGTGATCATTGCGAGAAATTCTTTTATAACATGGGAAATCTTCGATCACACTTCAGGCATATTCATTTGAGTGAGTGCTAAGTTACTTGCGTTGTGTGATCGTTTCTTTCTATTTTGGTTGTACCGTAGTAAAAGCGTGCCCAATATTTTAGTTTTTTTGTATATAACTGCGTGCCCGCAACTGCGTAGACTATCCTGTCCGCGTCATGAGACATATTGCAGACTGCTCCAGTTCAATGCGTTGGACGTTCGGTTGCAGTTGACGCGCAAGCATCGTAGCAGTGATCCGTTTCAAAGTTGATTTTCGCTACACTGTTTCCCTATCAGCGATGCTTGTTGTATTTTCGCATTCCTTTTGTCCCTCTAATGTTTGTGCGACTGTCTTTGTCCTGTTTTCTGTTCCAGAAAACAGACCTCTTGCATGCGGTTACTGCGAGAAAACTTTCATCAAAAAGAGCGTACTTCAGACTCACGTAAAGACTGTTCATTTGAGTGAGTGCAGCGTTGAATGCATCCTTATGCCCTAACGTTTTGCTATGGTAATGTGCGTTATGCCAGCATATATCATCGGCCGACTTCTCTAGTGTGCAATTTTCAGCATTTCTTCTATTGATATTCGATACCCTGCGCCGTCCGAGTTCGACCTACACAGATATACTTCGCCGCATTTGGGAGTGAATCTTCCATTTGGTACATCATTTTAGGATAATTTGTATTCTGAACTCATGTTTGTCTGGTGATACTCTGAACTGGCCTGTCATGGTAACTCTTCCTTGTTTATGTTTGGGTCCCCAACCTACATCGATTTGCCTTGCGCCTGTATCTTCGGCCTGGCAGATCAAGTATGAGATGCTTTTAATACCGGTTTAGTAATCGACAACTGTCGTGCTCCCACTGCCTTGTTTTCAGGATTTTGAACTAGAGGCTTTGTTTGAGAACCGTAATCGTTCTCATGCTTAGACTAGGAAAGCCTGACAGTATCATGCCTATGCAGTGCACTGAACATTCATTCACACGATTTCTTTATGCTCAATTTTTCGCATAATGTAATCTACGGCACCCTATGTGCAGCCTCAACTGGAGTGGGTATTGGTGAGGAGGCTACTGCCTACGCCTTCCCCTCTCGTTTCTCTCTTATCGTTTTTCATCCTTATCCTCCCTTTCCATCTTCACCCCAATCTCCCTTATATTCTACCCCTTAATTTTTGACCCTCGTCCACATTGTTCTACTAGGTCATGTGCTTCAGCTTCGGTCCCAGTAAGCAACATGACGAAGGTTCACTTCAATGCGACTCCCAATGCACATTGCGATTGCACTTTGGAATTCATTCACACAACAAGAGCTTCAAAATGACCCCCCTGGAATCCTTGTTTGTCTTATAGTTTCAACTCGTGCACAAGTGTGAGTCTCGCTTTCTCCTGTTGACAAGATCATGTCTAATTAGTCGAACTACTTAAGTTCGTCCGGTGCTATTTGGAGTCCACGACCCTCGCGTGTCTCAACGTGCGCACTTTGTTACCGATCCGTCATTAGGTAGCATTTGGCCCACTACTAGAGACCTTATTGGTCGGTATCAGTTGCTTATCTGAAACTCGCCTTTGAGTCCCGTGCTTTATGTTCACCGTTCGATTCCCTTTATGTGACATTTGTGGTGCATCCTCGCTGTGTCCATCTGATGATGACGGGGCTTGTGAGTCCGGTGAAGCAGGTTTGTTTTTCTGAGCTCCCAGACTGAAGTGCTCTATTTGACTGTATCCACATACGTTAATGCCCAAGAGTGACAATTGATGCAGCTACACAGAGTATGCTCTACTCGCTACTTCTAATGAGTATCAGTATCAGTAGGCGGATGTGCTCAGTCCGAATCGTTTGCTCGCTCGAGGCTTTGAAGTCACCCGAAGCTTTTCGGCTCATGCACAGAGTCATCTTTGTCTTGATTCACAAGAACTCCCGCGAAAATTGCGTCACTGAGCTCGGAAGTTCGCTGTACTTTTTTCATGCTTGCTCCCTGTATCCGGCTTCATAGCCTTTCAGCGATTAGGGGAGTATTGTCAGGGATGAACAAGCTGTTGTTTGTGCAGTGCGTTATTACAACGGCCAAATCACGCTCCTCAGACTTTTCGGACTCTGTCCTGTCCACCGACAACTAACACTGGTAATATTCGTGGTTATCCGAGACATTTGTTTCAATGGTCAGGTCTGACTTGTGGGCCTATTTACTAAGGAAATAGGGGCTTCTCTAATTTGTAATCGCCCCTGAAGGAAGTGTTCACTCACGTGTCGGAAAATTTGGAGCTTACGGGAGGCTTTCATCTTCAAATTAGCCATCGAAAATTTCGTTTACTGGACACGAGTATTTCTGATACTGCGGGGTTTAGCTTCCCCCTGGAAACTTAATCGTTGGCTTAGATTGCACCGATGATATGGCTTTGTTCTGGCTGTCGTCTGTGTGTAAACTGTGGTTCGCACCGCATCGCGCAGTTTACCTTACTCATCCATCCATCTCACACTAAATGCGGCATTTCGTTTGACATGGCGACTAAATCCCATGGAGATCAAGTAGGTGCGCCTCCTTTCTTGCTAACTTATTCATCGGTCCAGCATTCAGCCTTTCCTGGATTGCTCCGGATAGCTGATAAGATGGCTAGATTGACGTTATACTGGGACTGGTAGTAAGAAAAGTGAGGCAGAGGTGAGATCGGCCGGGGCGCATATCTTGCATGGAGAAGTAGGAAAGAAGAAACTGCTCGCATGCTTCCCTACATGTGCGCTTCGCTCGACATGCAACTGAACAGCTCTATGAACATTCTTTATACAAGTTCAGTATGTGACTCATTTTGGTTGTATATTGCACAAACAGTGCACTTGCATCTGAACGGAAATGCACAAGTCCTCAGCCAGAATTTTCGATAATGTGTCCATCCGATCAGCATCTAGAGGTGCGCTATGAGTATGTGAGCCTGCACTTACCCTAGCTCAGAGGTTAATCACTCTGGATTTCAATCGATGACAAACTGAATCCTATGTAAACAGCAACTAGCCCCCAGAAGTCCCATAGCACCAGGACCGCTGTTTCCATGTCGTCACGGTGTGTATTTTTGACATCCACATGTTGCGTTACCTGAATGAGGGTGGATCACATGATCCGGTCGCGACACTGTCTGCATAAACAAACCGAATCTGCTGAAGTCCCACACACAGCTCCCGAGTAAATGGTCGCCGTTATGATAGGGTTATTATCGTCTGATTGTCGCATGTGAATTTCACTGCTTGGAGCTGTCGGAAGAGTAGTAACAGGTTACTGGTTACCTGGTTTTCTGGAACCATGGTTTGTGGACGCTTGTCATCCAGGTGACATTAGTGCAGATTGTGAGTCCCAGATCGGTTTAGTTAGTACGGGATCACCAGGCGTTGTTCATAATTTTAGAGAGAGAACCCCTCTGGTTCATTGTTTTGCCATCACCCGTTCAGTATAGTGCGAACCCAACTACTTCTACTTCCGGTTGACTGTGGCCCTAGGTCTATAACGGTCGAAACTCCCGTGCTTACTCTTCCATTACTGCAAACAGCTAGCCTCTAGAAGATCGCAATTGGGCTCTACACTCAAACTTCGAGCCAGAGGTGCTCATCATAGACTTGTGCACCAAGCTGTAGAGTCAAAGGCTCCGGTGGGGATTGTCAAGTAAGACTCTATTTATTCCTTGCCTTATAGGTCGAACTGTTGAATCCATAGCTCCAGACCTCATACAAAAGCCATGTCTCGAACTGAGCAGCCGGAGAGTACCCACAGGACATCGTCGCCAGTAGTTTCTATTCTCCTGCTTACCATCCTTTTCACATGTGCGTTTCTCGTGTCTACCAGTATTGGGCCACCATTGGCCTCATCAATCGCGCTATATAGGAGGCCGGGTTATTTTTCAAACATACAACATTGGCTATTTCAGTGTTCACATTCTGTTTCAAATCGGCCAGTCGATTGAGCTCACTGATTTTAGACTTGGAATTTCTCCGTGCTGTGCTCCGAGATAACACGCCAGAAGGACAATCGCCTCCTAATTATTCTGCGCTTACTAGACCTATGTTCAAATTACTGTGTTTACACAATTGCTATGATACCGAGTCCACTTCAGGCGCTATGGAAGGTGTCGGGATCTCTCTTGGTAGACATGCAGAGACTTGTCTTTGTTTCGGATACCCTTGAATTGTTGTATACGAGTTATTCAACTACAAAACCTAATCGGACTTGACACAACGGCATTTTTCTTGTGCGTTTTTATCGTCTCTGATTATGCCCCCACTGACTGCAGACTAGTAGTTCTCTCTCATCGATTCGCCAATAGCACAGGCATCATGCTTGTTGCGCTGGTGGTGTGAATGCACAAATTGGTCACCTGTCAGCGTCAGAGCACCGCCTCGGACACCTCTTCGGCGTCGATACTTGTCGTGCTGACAGTGGTGGCAACCTTTTTCATCTGCGTACTCTTTACTATCTCTGTGTATATGCCGCACATGCATTGCATAGATCATCGCATCCCTTCTCCTGACATTTCCTTCTTTTTGTTGCTGTCACTTATCCGTTGTGACACATTGCCAAACGCTTATTGGTCAAGTTATATGTGCCCCATGCTGAGGCGCTGATGTTGCATTCCTGATGCTTCTTCACCGCAGTTGGGCTAAACCAACTTACGCTTAAACTAGGTCTTTTTAAGCTGAATACATCTCATTCCACTTTATTTGGTTTGTTTTGCCTACCTGAATAATGTTCTCTTAACTGGCCACGTTGCTTACGCTAATTGCGCTTATCTTCGGTAACTTTGTTACGTTTGTAGCATTTTTAAGTAACTTGTGTACATTTTTTCCTTATCGCGGATTCGTTGCTACCCAACTTACTTCATATGCTAATTTAGCGGAGAGTTTTGCCACTGTATTTGTATGCATTATTGGATTTATTTTATTTTATCTTGTCGTTTCAAGTGATTGGCTGTTGCTTGATATCCCCGGTGTGGCTGCGCTTGATGTGCATGTTGACAAGGTGCCTACTTGTCTATTACCCACTACCTCGTTCATACTGGCTCCAGGAGACAGTTGGTCGTTGCTGGAGGGGACGGGGTGCACGGTCCTTGTGGATGTGTTAGGATCAAAGAGTGGTTCCATGCACTCAATGTGGAGCGGACTACGGTCCAGCCACCGCCTTGTGTGCGGTTGATTCCCCAACTACAGCGTGCTTGTGTTTGCCTGTGAAGGAATGTGGGCCGGCTCCGTTGATGAAACGTGGCTCCCATCCACATGGCTCCCGGTCTTATTCCTTCGGGTTTACACTGGATATGGGGTTTGTGGTTGGAGCTGTGGGTGGTGCAGCGCAAGCCACCCATGGTCCTTCTGTAGGCGCAGGCGTCCTGTGGCTGGCCACAGTGAGGCAAATCCGAAACCGGATGCCGCCAACCATATACATAAATAAATAAATAAATAAATAAATATATATATATGGTTG